GAAAATGCGCATTCATTCTCTGCCAGCAGGTGGCGCTTTTTCTGTACGGCAGAAATACAGCGGTTTCCCAGGCAACGACTGAACACAAAGCAGCGCAACTGCTGAGTTTGAAACGTGCAGCGCTCATATTTATTCAATGAAATCAAAATAGCCTTTTGATGTTTAATCATCACATTCAGCCATATCGCAATTCTTGTCTTTCCATCCCCAAATTTAAGACCTCCTGAAATCATAAGACTTTCTTGTACCATTTAAGATTTTTTATGGCCTTACATTTAAAACAAATAAATTTAAGACTTTTTAAGGGCCCGTCAACTTTCATAATTTGAGAATGTCATTTTTTTTTTCAATCACTGAAAGTTTCATTTGTCTGCACGCCGCTTTCTGTTTTCTTCACTGCATGCATGCCTTTACATCTGACCGTAGCAACAGTTAACCTTAGTAGCAACCCGTGGCACCACAGGACCCAAACGGCTCTACTGAGCTGATCTTGATGTGCCTAATATAAATTTGATTTTAATAGAAAATAGCATTTGCGGTCCGGGTTCGGAGGCCTATTTTTGTTGATGACTTTCTACATAGTATATTGAATCAGACTTGATCGTTATATTTACAGATGTTTCTATAAGTGATGATAGACCTTTATTTCTATCTTATTAGTCAATATAAAATGTCCTGTCCACTGCAGCTTTGAAATTCTCATTAGGTTTGACGTCATTGACACGTTTATTATGTGTGATGTTACCAAACGTGGGTGAGCAAGTTTAAATATGTGGAATGGAAAATTAAATTTGAGGACTGCAGCAGAAGGAAAGATGTTGCTGTTTACCTTTTAATGATTAAAGGACAAAAAATATCATGTACTATTATATTTCAGTATGATTTAACCAAAAACATTTTTATACAGTAATGTGATTTAACTTTTTCTGTCTTTCCCCCTGCAGTCCTGAAATCAGTCTCTCAAGTGAGTCTCTGTGAGGAGAAAGAGCACAATATCCAGGGCCCAGCCGTGTCTATAAAGAGTAAGAACTCAATGTATGAACTCCTTAGCAGTGACCTCTGACATCAGGTAAGATTCTTGTCATTATAAGGCACAACAGTCAGGTTCTGGCAGTAAAAATTCCATTCATGGCAATGTATAAACCTTATGTGAGCTCTGATGCAGTTAAGCAAAAATATATTTGTTTCTGTAGAAGAATTATGTTTAATAGCTCAGCAGTGTTGGATCCTTCCGATACCCCAGGAATATTGGATCCAGTCTATGTACCATATCCTGTCAGAATATATCCGTTTTGTCTGGTATCCAAAACCAGTCAACAGAGTCTTGTCTGATACCTAAAACAATGTAACACTGTATTTTGTCCCAAGAAGCAGTGAGTGGTCTCTATTGGAAACAATAAACTGAATTTTATTAACAAATTAAATGGTTTTCTTTTGCAGATTTCAGTGCCTGAATTATTTCGATGTTTTACTAATTATATGGCAAGAATGACACAGAGAACAACATCTCCAGTATCCAGCTGTGTGTCTATGAAGAGTAACAGCTCTATTTGTCACCCTCCTGATCTCAGTAATAGAACAGTGACATCTGACCCTGTGTGAGTTGAAACATAAAATGAAACTCTGAGATGTTTACCTTGGCAAGAGTTATCTTTATTAACTAAATGATATATTTTTGGTGACATAAAAATGCCATTTATTTACATCCCAATTCACCTACTTATACTATACACTAAAAGTATGTACTGTATGTACTGTTTGTGACAAAAAAAAAAAGTAAATACTTTTGAGTGTGTAGCAAACAAGTAGGCAAGCCTTGGTTGGGACATAGCCAGCCTGTCAATCATCCTGTGACAGTTAACACGTATTCCTCATACACACACACTCCACATGCTATTTAATTAAATTTTAGGCATACTTTAATGGCATACTTTTATCAACACACTGTGCTTTTGTACCTTTTCATGCTAGTTAGGATTGAAATGTACACACTGGGATGCAGGGCATGTCTCCTTTCAACAAAAAGTACTATATGGATGTAATTTGAGATGAAGTACATATAAGTCATTGAAAACCAGATGCCAGAACCATTTGAAAATGTTTTTTTAGTTACTACAGTCATAGAATACCATGTTGTTATAATGTACAATGTTTTATTTAAACATAAAATTATGTCTGTTTTTGTTCTGTTATTTCTGAGAAATTGAAACTGTTGAAACTGTACTGAGAAGAAAGAGACTAGAAATGTTATGTATTTTATGCATCTTAAGACTCGATGCCATACTTTGACAGAAATCCTTTGAAAGTACTGGTCATTATCTGGATACCGACTATAAAAATCTCACATAATGTTAGGTTTTTGTGTATATTAAACTATTTGTTTCCTTTGTCTTTTTTCTTGCTGCTGTCTCTGCAGTAGTGAAGGAGGTGATCCAGTCTTTACTTCCTCCTCCAGTCAGATCCACATCAGGCAGCACAACAAAGCAGCTCTGCAGACACACACACTGCTGGAGGATTCTCACCAACCGGCAGATGATGTCCTGCACAGAGTAATAGAGACTCACAAAACCTACATGAAAAGAAAGTATGAGAGCTTATTTGAGGGAATCAAACTACAAAAGAATCAAACCCTGCTGAACAGGATCTACACACAGCTCTACATCATAGAGGGAGAGAGTAAAGGGGCGAATGAAGATCATGAGGTTGTGCAGATGGAGAAAACACCTAGAACACATAATTCACAGCACACTCCAATAGGCTGCAATGACATTTTTAAACATGTACCTAAACCAGGATGTGAGGAGCAAAGAAAACAGAGGAAAGTTGAAATCAAGACTGTTCTTACTAAAGGCATTGCAGGAATTGGCAAAACCGTCTCTGTGCAAAAGTTCATTCTGGATTGGGCCGAGGGAAAAGCCAATCAGGATGTAGATTTCATGTTTGTGCTTCCATTTCGAGAGCTGAACTTGATTAAAGATCACCAGTACAGTCTTCACAAACTTCTGCTGTACTTTCATCCTGAACTTCAAGTTCTAGACTCCAAGATTTATGATGAATGTAAAGTTGTCTTCATCTTTGATGGTCTGGATGAAAGCAGAATTACACTGATGTTTTCACACAGACATAAAGTTTGTGATGTGCATGGGTCTTCATCGTTGGGTGTGTTGATAACAAACCTCATTAAAGGAGATCTTCTTCCATCCTCTCACATCTGGATCACCTCCAGACCAGCAGCAGCCTATCAGATTCCTTTTAAATACTTCAACCGTGTGACAGAAATTCAGGGATTCAGTGACCCTCAGAAGGAGGAATATTTCAGGAAGAGAATCAGTGATGAGCATCAAGCCAGCAGAATCATCTCACATATCAGAAGGGCAAGAAGCCTCCACATCATGTGCCACATCCCCGTCTTCTGCTGGATCTCAGCCACTGTGCTTCAAAACATCCTAAAACACAATGACAGTGAAGAAATCCCTAAAACTCTGACAGAAATGTACATACATTTTTTGCTCATTCAGACAAATATAAGGAATCAGAAGTATGAAGAAAATGACCCAGAGAAGCTCCTACAGTCAAATAGACAAATTGTGAAACTTGCTGAACTGGCTTTCAAACAGCTGATGAAGGGCAATGTGATGTTCTATGAGGAGGACCTGATTGAGAGCGGCATAGACGTCACTGATGCCACAGTGTGTTCAGGGATTTGCACTGAGATCTTCAAGGAGGAATCTGTGATTTTTCAAAAAAAGGTCTATTGCTTTATACATCTGAGCTTTCAGGAGTTTCTTGCTGCTTTCTATGTGTTTTACTCATATATTGTTAAGAACATGCAAACGCTGAAACTTGTCTTTGTAGAGGTTAAGTGGTTGAAGTCTTGGAAGCTTTCTGAGCTACTAGAATCAGTAGTTGACAAAACCCTGTCTAGTAAGACTGGACATCTGGATCTGTTCCTGCGGTTCCTACTGGGCATCTCGCTGGAGTCCAATCAGAGACTCCTACAGGGTCTTCTGACACAAACAGAGAACAGCTCAGAGAGCATCAGAAACACCACTCAGTACATTAAATACACAATCAGAGCTAACGATGATTTCTCAGCTGACATATCCATCAATCTGTTCCTCTGTCTGCTTGAAATGAAGGATGAGACTCTCTACAAAGAGATACAGGACTTTGTGAAATCAGACAAACACTCAGAGGATAAACTCTCTCCTGCTCACTGTTCAGCAATAGCTTACGTGCTTCAGATGTCAGAGGAGGTGCTGGATGAGCTTGACCTCAAGAAATACAACACAACAGAGGAGGGTAGGAGAAGACTGATACCAGCTGTGAACAACTGCAGAAAAGCTATGTGAGTATTCATTTATCTCATCATGTAAATTCTCTATCAAGCCAACACTGTTTTCTTTTACATTAACATTAATTTGAAGAAAAGCCTGGGACTTCTTTAAAATGAGAGAATTGTTTTAAATATACAGACAACTAAAGAGCATTAGCATGCTGTACCAACCTTGGCCACGAGGTGCCACTATCAGTAAGCATAAAATCTAATGCTTACACTGCTTTTTCTGTTGCTCTATCTTTTAATAAATTTGCTTTTTCTGTTGATCTATCTTTTAATAAATTTACAAGAACATTTTGCACATTGTAATCAAGACCGAGCATGAGCGCAGAATATGCAGGGATGCGTGGGACATGTTATCTGCACTTTTAATAAAACGTAAATTTGCACTTTTTCATTGAAATGTGTTTACATAAAGTTTTTCATGGGGCAATGCGAATGCATAAATTTAGGTTTTTCTATGCAGTAGAAGCGTCAGCGGGACCAGGCTCTGTGGAGGGATCAGAAACAGGATTATGGTAAGGCTTAAGTAGTGATACATGGAAGGATGAGTGAATTCTGTAATGTGCAGGAAGTTGGAGCTGGTAAGTGACAGGGTTAATCTGATGGATGATCTTGATGGGGCTGATGTATCTGGGGCTCCGCTTTCTGCTGGGCAGACGCAGCCTGATATGTTGAAGTCATTCAAGTTTGATGGCCAGCAGTTCTCTATTCCTGATATCATTATTTCTTTCCGCCGGGGTGAGCTTTTTGGAGTAGGAGACACATGGCTGGAGTAAGGCTGGAGTCCCCTGCTGCTGGTTTCAACTTCAAAAAAGAAGGGGTTGTCTGGGTCGGGATGGATAAAGGAGTGGTGCTTGGGTGAAGGCTTTATTCAGGGTGTTCATTGCTTCTGTTGCTGCTGGATTCCAGGACAGAGACTTGGGTCTGTTTTTGAGAAGGTTTGTCAAGGGACTGGTAATGATACTGAAATTCTTGAAGCGCCGGTAGAAGTTTGCAAAACCAAGAAATCTCTGAAGTTCCTTGATAGTGGTTGGAGTTGGCCAGTTATGCACTGCCTCCACCTTCCCCTTATCCTTTTGAATGCCGTACTTACTGATGGTGTAACCAAGGAACTGAAGTGAGGACTGATGGAATGTGCACATCTCAGCCTTCAGGTAAAGATAGTACTCCCTTAATCATTTTAAGACTTTCAAAATGTGGAGGCAATGTGCAGCCAAGCTCCGGGAGTACACAATGTCATCGATGTAGACCAGGACGAACTGATGGAGGTACTTCCAGAACACCTCATACATGAAATCCTGGAACACGGAAGGGGCGTTGACCAGGGCATACGGCATCTACGCCAGTAGGGGTCATGAAGGCGGTCGTCCACACGTCACCCTCACGTATCCGGATGAGGTTGTACGTGCACCAAAGATCCAGCTTCGTGAAGACTGATGCTCCTCATAGTTGTTCCAGGGCTGCTGGGACGAGGGGAATTGGGTACCTGAACTTCACAGTTATTTAATTGAGGGCTCAATAGTCAATAAAAGGCCGCAGGCCTCTGTCCTTCTTGGAAACGAAGAAAAAGCTTGAAGCAGCAGGGGATGTTAAGGTATGGATGTAGCCTTGTTGGAGTGCTTCCTCAATATAATCTTCCATGACCTTCTGCTCTGTGATGGATAATGGACAGATCTTGCCATGGGCACTGTCTCACCCGGAAGCAGGTCTATGGCACATTCCCATGGCCGGTGCGGAAGCAGTTGGGAAGCTCTATTTGGACATAATATGTTGTTGAAGGGGCGTAGCAAGGAGATATATCAACAGACAGTTGATCAATAGGATGTTTGATTGATGGGAGGGCTTTCACAGGTCTTTGGAGGGTTCATGGAAGGAGAGGGAAACATTCTGGGTAACAGCCTTCGCCGCACTTCAGGACTCCTGTTTTCCAGGATAGCACCATGTTTAGTTAACCATGGATGCCCTAGGATGATACCAGCAGTGAACTGCCCGAGAACCAGGAAATCCAGGGATTCTTGATGGAGTTGGTCAAGCCAGAGCTGCATGGGTCCCACATCTAAGCGCACATATCGGCGGCTGAGAGGTTTACCAGTTACCGACTGGACTTGATATTGGGTCTTCACTGGAGTTGTAGTTTACAACAGAGCTCCCCTGAGATAAAGTTGTCAGCTGACCCAGAGCGCTCACCCTGATAACAGAGAGATGACAAAAGAGATCTTGGATTTATCAGTGGGAAATTGGTGCGGCTGCATCTCAAGGGCTAGTGAGCATTGTAGAAGGAATCTGCATCAGTCGTTCTCTGAGCCAGAGTAGGGCACTGGGTTAGCCATGGGACTGACCATGCAAACAGGTGTTGAAGGAGTGACTGGTGTGGTGATCGATGTTAATGTGGATGTTAAGACTACTATTTACTATTTACTATTGTCCTCTTGCATTATCAACACACTTTTTTCCTGTTTAACACTGTAAAGCTGCTGTGACACAATATGTATTGTATAATGCACTTTATATATAAAGTTGACTTGACTTGACTTGGCTAAGGCCCATCGCAGCGAATCCACAATCTCCTGAAATGAGTCAGTGGAACTCGACATTCTTGCAGTGTTGGTCTGGTCTTCTGTTATGGAAATACCAGACTCAGAAGAGATCAGAACTGGGATCATTATTCACAAATTGAGGGTGAGTTGCAATGGGTAAGAGCAATATAGCAAGGCAATACTGGAGAATGATGAGCTGAACTACCTTTGTAGAAAGAGAAGGAGATTGTGGATTCGCTGGAGTGCACACACTTCTCCAGGATGATGACTAGGGAGGTAAACACAAGATGAAGCCACAGGGGAAACGCCGGAGGAGATCACAGGAGAGAATCATAGAAGGTAAGTAAGCAGGTTAGTATTCTGTATACCAATGAGTAAAGCAGACAAAAAGTAGAGGAGTAGTGTGTGCTAATATGCAGGAGCTGATAAGCGTACTGACGAGGTGCAGGTGATCAGTACTCTGGGATTGTGAGTGGAGTAAGGTAGTGACGATGGAGTTTGGTGAAACCGTGACCGTAGATTTTTTTTAAAGTTTTGTTGCTGTTATTGAGTCTTCTGGCTCCACTAACTGGTAAACAGCCTTACACACAGTCTTTCATCTCACTCTAATTTTCACAGATATGTTATCGAATAATTTCAAATTAGAATAAAGATAATGATTATTAATGTTGAGATTTATCTTAAAATGTTAAAATTGTTGTTTTTAAACAAACCAGACAGAAAAGGAAATAAAAGGGCACGAATAGAATAGAATAGAATAGAATAGAATGGAAAAAAATTGTATTACATTTGACATACTGCCCCCCTCAATTCTGAAATAATGGCTACACCCTGAGACAAAATCAGGTTACATATGTTTCAAATGGCATTTTATACGGTATTCTTTACATGTTTCATATGCCAGATGGCCCATGTTTCTAGTCTAATGTAAACAACAACAAAACATTCGTAACCTGCCCTCTCTTCAGTCTCACCCTTATGCGTCTAAAGCTAGACATCACCACCTCTGCTTTTTTAACAAAACTTTTAGGAAGGTATGAGAGCTAAACTCTGTAGGACAGTGACCATCCAAGAGCGGGATTGGACACATCTGATCTAGACCTTTTATGCTTGTATTTAACTTCTGTTACAGACTTACAGGCTGCAATCTCACTGATCTATGCTGTGAAAGTGTGGCTTCAGTTCTAAAATCATCAAACTCCCCTCTGAGAGAGTTGGACTTAAGTAATAATAACCTGCACAAGCCAGAAATAAGGTTGCTTTCTACTGGACTGAAGAATTTACACCATGGGGAGGAGAGGTTTGTGATTTTTCATTAACAAGTAATGCTACTGACACAATAAATTGACCTATCAGTGTCTGCCCTTGCAGTGTGAAAAAAACATGAAAAATATAGTAAATTATTTTTGCAAAGCTATGTGACCTTTGTTCTTGTCTTGTCTTGTCTGTTGTTTGTGTAGTTTGTCTGTCTTCAAATGCTTAGATCAATCCTTTCAAGGTTTGGATTCATCTTTACAGTTTTTAAACTACTTCCTCTGTGAGATAGACCTGCAGGATTTTGGAGTGGAGCTGCTTTTTGTTGGATTGAAGAGTCCACAATGTCAACTAAAGAAACTGAGGTATTAAATAATGTCTTTAGATCCCTGGAGGTCAGGACCAGTGCAAAGGGCACGTGTAGATGGAAACACGTGCCCTTTGCACTGGTCCTGACCTCCAGGGTGCCTAAGATGCTGTAAGCCATATTTAACAGAAGGGTAGGAGTCTAATCATAATGACCTATTTGTTATAGGTGAGAAAGAGAAAGAGAGAGTAATTGCAGAACTACAATGCTGGCACTTAACTAAATATAATTAATTATTATGAGTAGTCAAACCAGCACAAACCAGACTCACCCTCAAGGCATCCTTTTTATGTATATGGCTTTCTTCTTTCAGACGAATCCAGTCGGAGTTATATAAAAAAATGTATTTGATCTTCCAAGCTGTTTAATGGCAGTCAGCGGGTGTTGCAGTGCATCAGTCCAAAATAAGTGAAATAAAGCGCATCCATCCATAATAAAAAGTGCCTCACACCACTCCGGGTGGTGAACAAAGGCCTCCTGTAGCGTATCGTTGCGTTTTTGTAAGAAAAATAATCATATTTAAAACGTAATAATCAACTTAATCTAGTGTGCGCTCACTGTTGTACACGGAAGCAAACAAACGTTGGTTTTCACGAGACTCACCGGCGCATGTGCAGTGCTGACCTCATACGTCATCCACTCGGAACTGCTTCAGTGTACAACTGTTGGCGCAAGTTAGATTAAAGTGATTATTACATTTTGAATATGGATATTTTTCTTACAAAAATGCATCGATTCACTACAGGAGGCCTTTGTTCACCCAACTTCCTATCTCTATTATATTTTGTTATTATTATTTTAAAATCAGTGCTATTGGTCTTCCTTAGGTCTGTTTGAGGGTTTTACAAAAAAGTTTACCAATGAAAAGCATTCAAAAGAGCTTATGACTAAACCTCGTAACTCCATTGGATCCTCAAACAGTCAGCGAAACCTCATAACTCCACCCACCTCCATTCAGAAGGAAGCGCCGCGCTCAGTCTGGATCTCCGCTTGTTCACAATGCAAGAGTAAATAAAGAACTGATGTTTGAATAAGTACAGCATTTTCTTTACTCAAGAAACACTATGTCTGTAAAGGCTAATGTTTTTGTGTGTGTGAGAGATTTGATTACTTTCCTCAGGTTGTGTGTAGAGAGAGTCTGTCGGGACGGTACTACTGGGAGGTCGAATGGAGCGGGTGGAGGGGGGCTGTTATATCAGTGGCACATAAAGGAATGAGCAGGAAAGGAGGAAGTGATGATTGTAGGTTTGGATTCAATGAAAAGTCCTGGAGCCTTGCTTGCTCTGATGAGATTTTCACTGTCTGGCACAATAAAAAAAGCACTGACATACCCATCCCATTCTCCTCTAAGAGAGTAGGACTGTTTCTGGACTGGCAGGATGGCACTCTGTCCTTCTACAGCGTCTCTGACACACACACACTCACACACTTACACACATTTTACTCCACATTCACTGAACCCCTCTGTGCTGGATTTAGAGTTTTTATTGACTCTTCAGTGTCTCTTCATCAGACTGAAAAGATTTGACACAATGGGGTGAAAGCTATTCGTGGGGCTGAGAAGTCTGGAACATT